TCGAAGTTCTCAAACCACTAGTTCTTGTTTCTTTTTCTTTTCTGTGCTTGCCTTTGGGAAAAACTCTGATCTTTCTTGGCTTAGAGCCACTTTTTATGGCGCCATTGTTGTCTATCCCAAAACTGGAGTCCATTACCCTTTTAAGTGCCCTGCTGAAGAACATATCATAATTTTAGATATATATTTATAATTATACATGGTTATTTTCTTTCATTTTTTTCCAATAACTTTTTAATTAGGATCTGATTTTCTATTACTGTAAATGCATTAGGGCAGTATTGGCTTAAGGACGTTATGCATTTCACTCTTAGCACGTTCCTTTCGTAATAATTGGTGACTATGGGGGTGACGTGCTATGAACTAGTTATTGTCATCATGTTTTTAACTTGCTATATGTGAGGTCAGTAGGCATCTTGCTTGTCTCTGTTGATACATACTCATATTGTTGTTGTTCTCGGACAGATCGTTCCGATGGTGGCAGTTTTGCCAAACTTTTTATCGGGTCGGTGCCAAAGACAGCTAGAGAGGAGGATGTAAGTGAATTTAGTAACGGTTAGATATGTAGACGATGAAAGATGCAGTATTTCTAACATTAAACGTTTACATAGTTTTGTCTCGTATATTCTTATCGTTTAGCACTTTATTTATTTCTAATTATGAAGTGGGGAACAAGTGTGTTCTCTTTCGCTTATCTCAAAAAAGAAAGTATGTTCTCTTTCGCTTCTATTCATTTATTCTTTTATCAAAAAAGAAGTGGTCTTCGGTTTTTATTCAGGGGATGCCTTCGTAAAGTCTTTATTTATCTTTTGTGATTGTATGAAGTAACTTGGTGTTAGCTAATATTTTGTGTCCTTGACATCAGATTCGCCCCTTGTTTGAACAACATGGAAAGGTTGTCGAGGTAGCCTTAATCAAAGATAAGCGAACTGGACAACAACAAGGTACATGGAAATGCTTTTGTTAGGAAATTATTGTGATCTAGACCCATCTTATTTCAGGTCCTCTGAGGGGCTGATGGGAGCAACCTAAGCTCATATTTCATCTCAGTTTGTTTTGCAACAAGTTACGGGCTTGTTGGTTCTCGTCCAATCCTTTTTTACTGTCGGTCCTGTCAAACAAGAAGGCAACACGTGTAAACTTACTAATAACTGGCTTATGTATAGAGGTTGGAAATTTGGACGAGAAATAGATCCTGCTCATGAAATACTGGCTGCGGCAGTTGGGGCATTACCCTGGTCATTGTCATGGGAGTGTCTATTTCCATAGCTCTAGTTTATTAATGGAGGATGTTAAGTGCAACTATTGTACAGATAGTGACAAGATACTTTTTCTTTTTATTGATTTTGATGGCATTGGTGTAAATTTTGAGGATTTTTATGTTTCTTCTTGTCTTAGTCTTAGGGGGAATCCTTATTTTTGAATGGTTTGGGATGATTGTGTACCAGTTTTCAAACAGACAGAATGGATGAATCTGAAGTTTGTGTATCAGGGCTGGATGGTAATTGGATTGTATGAAAATAGACCATCCTTTACATATCCCTTAAAAGGTGCTTGGGATATTACGCATGTGGATTGATTTTTTTCTCTGGTCATGGATGTTTGATTTTCTGTATCCAGTCAAATTGGTTTAGTTAGTTCTAGTTTAGTGTATTGGAAGCTTTTCTTTCATTAGTGTTTACTGTTAGTCAATGGATGTTACCATGTCCGAGAGATGATTCAGCTTATTTCAAGTTGAACAAGGATTTTAGGTTTGTCTGGCATCATATTGAGATACAAATCCGAACTCCCTTTTTCCCTGTGTGGCAACTGTGGCCTTTGTGTGGTTAAAGAGTGTGTTCTTTTGTTCCGTTTTTTTCTTCTTTTTTCTATTGGTTTTCAGAGGTTAGTGATATAGAAACATAGTATCATTCTTAGCACTACTATCACAAACCCTTTTTGTGAACTGTGTTGGGCTTCTTATTATTTAAATTGTCTATCTCATATTTTATTTATACTATTTCTTTTCTTTTTTAAAAAATATAATGTCTTTTTATGTTGTAAATTGATGAGTGCATAGGCCTATGGTTCAGGCTTTTTGGCTCCTTGATTGTCTTTGTGCACACGGTTAAATTGTTTAGTGTTGGTGATCTAAAGAATAGAGCCCTATTTTGTGGATGCTTTTGGGGGTTCTAGATAAATCTGCTCATGTTAATGTTCTAATTTATGCATTCCTCTGTCCGTGCTATATGCCTTTGCAAGAGAACATGAATGCTCATGGATTTCACCGTGGATGTAAATAATTACTCAAAGAGGATCTAGATATTTATGGGAATTTCGTAATATCATTTATTATCATTGTTATGAAGTATTTGGGATTTTAATATGCGAATTTGTGCTAAAGTTTGTGCCCAGGAATTCATATTTTTAGTTGTATGCAGCTTGAGAGAGAAGTACTGGAAAGTGGAGGCATTCCTCCTCCAGCAGATGCTTTTACTCTCAATGGCCACCCATATCCCAACTACAATTGCTCTGCTAATGGTAATCCATACACCAATTTTATAAATTAAACATTTTATTTTAAATAAATAAGGATAATTTATAACATAAGTTAATATTTCAGATGTATATGAGATTCAAGTGGTACCCAGAAAGACGTACCTGCTGAGGCTAATAAATGTAGCTTTAAACGTGGTGAATTTCTTTGCCATAACCATTCACAAGCTAACTATCGTCAAAACTGATGGTGAATACACGAAATCATTCATCACAGAGCGTGTAATGCAGGGACCTGGACAGACCATGAACGTCCTCGTCACGGCAGATTAGCCCATAGGAAAATACTCCATGGCTATGGGACCTTACATGGGCTGCCAAGCATGTTCATTTCCAGAACATCTCAGCAATTGCTTACTTTCAACACCTCGGCGCCATTCCTCATACTGAGACATTACCGGCTAAATTGCCTGAGTTTCGATGATAATCTGGCAGTGTTGACCGTCATGGATGGACTTAGAAGTTTGAATCCTGTCAAAGTTCCAGAAAAGATGAACGTTAATCTTTTTGTTACTATTGGGGTTAAACAACTGTGCAGGGCTTAAAAATGGAACAAGGGCAGCTTCCATAAACAACATTAGTTTCGTCAACCCTACTCTGTCACTTTGAGAAGCTTACTACAATAAAATTGATGGTTATTTTACAGAGGATTTTCCGGGGGCACCCCTTAAATTCTACGACTTTGTCAATGGAGCACCCAATAACATCCCTAACGGTACACAGGCCATGAATGGGACAAGGGCAAAGGTCCTTAAATATGGCTCGAGGGCGCAACTTATATTGCAGGACACAGGGACGGTTACCACTGAAAACCATCCAATTCATCTCCATGGCTACAGCTTCTATGTCGTTGGATATGGCACTGGTAATTAAAATCCACAAACAGCTAAATTCAACTTGGTAGATCCACCTTATACGAACACAATTGGAGTTCCAGTGGGTGGATGGGGTGCAGTTAGATTCGTCGCTGATAATCCAGGTATACTATATATGATCAATGATTCTTTTTCTTTGATCACTCGTTCTTCTTTTTTCTAATTAATAAGAATTTGATTTTAGATTTTGGGGTTTGGTTTATGCATTGCCATTTTGACATACACCAGTCATGGGGATTAGGAACAGAGTTGATAGTGAAGAATGGGAAGGGGAAGGGGAAGAGGGAGAGGTCGCCGAGATGCTAGAAGAGCCGTTGGATTCAACTAGAATTCACAAGGACGGACGGCTGTGAGGTTGCCGATATTCTAAAGGATTCTTTTGACATATTGTGTGGACTAATTTATTTTATATTATTAAATAAAATTGATTGTTTGTACAAGTGCAAAATTTTTGTCTCCCTTCACAGTAGAAGTGAAGTTGGGAGAAGAACAGTGGATTAATCAGTACATTTTTTTTCTTATCATGATTGTTCTTCATAAATATCTTCCAAAACGTTAAATTCCATACTACAAACATCAAGTTTTTACACAAAATTTAAATTAATTTAACGAATGTTATGTTTATTTTTATGAATAAAATAAATTAGTAAGGGTATATATAATAATAATCATCTTGTGAAATATAAAAGTATTTATCGTAATTTTACTTTTTGAGTTGAATTTAAGAGTTAAGGAAAAGTATTTAAGGGCAGAGAACCGCAGAATTAAAGGAAGAAAGGAGTAGATGAAGGAAAAGTAGGAAATGATCAAAGCTGAGAATGCAAAAGAGCAGAGCACGCGGTCACATAAAATCCGAGAAGACAAACAGAGATGGCTTCTGATTGAGGCACTGGCTCGCATGTGAAAGAGGAACCAACGGGAAGGATGAAATAATTGGCAGACTTCGGAGACGCGATTGGCTCGAGGTTTGTAGCACATGCGTCCGCTGGACAAGCAAGAAGGTGAGCCCGGTTTGAAGGGTCTCGGTCTTCGCTTATAAACTGAGTTGGAGTCAAGAAGGGTAGAGCAGAGAG